AATCTAATCTAATCTAATCTAATCTATCTAATTATGACCTTTAAAGCGCTCCCTGGCTTAGGCCCAGGATACCTGCGAGACCACCTACTGCCACCGGTAGCCTCCCACCGTCCAGGGCGATCCCACTGTCTGGCCTCCTCAGGGTGCCGTCGGCCAGACAGTGTCGGCTAGCAACCCCCAGGGGGAGAGCCTTCTCTGTGGGAGCCCCTTCCCTCTGGAATGAGCTGCCCCCGGAGCTTTGTATAATCCCCGACCTCCGGTCCTTCCTAAAAAGTTGGCTTTTCCAGCAAGCCAGCCTGGCCTGAACAAAACAAAACAAATTATTGATTATTGTTAATTTTAATTTGAATTCTTTTTTTAAAAAAATGTCATTGTCATTTGTTTGTTTGGGATATTCTATTTAATTTTTTAAAAAACTTTTGTATTATGTGTTTCTTTTAAAGTTGTACGCCGCCCTGAGTCCTTGGGAGAAGGGTGGCATTCATTTTCATTCATTTTTCATTTATTTCATTTTTATTTCATATAAATAAAAATGTAAATCTAATAAATCTAATAAACCTAAACCTAAACCTAAACCTTAAGCCTGACTCGGGGATGAACTGGGATCCCCTCCGCTCGGAAGTCCCCAATTGTATGGCCAGGCGCTCGGCAGAGCCATTCTTCAACCCGCAGCGGGAAGAGTGAGCCCCCACTTTAAGTAAGGCTTTCTCCCGCGGGAGCCCAGCGCTCCTGACTTAGCCAGACATCCGGCCAGACTCCCTTGTTGTGTCGTCAAGGGCAGAAAGGCCACCAGGGGGGGAGAAACGAAAGCGAGGACGGGGCGTTGCCTTCCACCTAAGCCAACACCTAAGGTTGGGTAAGCCAGGTAAAGGCGCAGAGGCGGCGGCCCAGGAAGACTGTCTCTCTCTCTCTCTTTCTCTCTCTCTCCTGCATTCCCTTGTTTTATCTCTCTGGCTCGACGGGGAGGGGTGGAGAAAGGAAAGAGGACCGGAATGAAGCGGAGGGCGGGGGTTCCACGCCCAGGCTTGTTCGTTCAAAAAGTTTCCCAAACTTTGCGGCTTCGTCCTTCCTTCCTTCCCTGCCAGTAGGGAGGAGACTGGCTGATCTCCTCCTCCTCCTCCTCCTTCGCTACCACCACCAGTAAAGCCTCCGCTGGTTTTTCTTCTCACCTGGACGCTGCTGCTGCTGCTTGAACGCCAACTGGGAACTGCCTTCTTTTGCTTTCCTCGCCGAACGCCTGGTCTTTTAGCTTATTTCTCTTTTCTCTCTTTTTCTCTTTTGCCTTTAGCCTCTCCCCTCCCATTTTTTGCATACCTGTCCCGGCTTCCTCTCCACCGCCCCCCCTTTCAGGCCAGCTGGCTCTCTTTCTGCCTTCCTTAAAAGGGAACTAATTGGGGTTTCGCGCTGGTCGCTCGTTGTTTTTTGCTTTTGCCAGAAGTGGGGAGAAAGAAAGAAAGGAAGGAAGGAAAAGAAAGGGGGGAAAAGCAACCCTTCTCCAGGACAGCTCTCTCTCTCTCTCTCCTGTTCCCGTCGGGGCCGAGTTGATGCTTTGCTGGTGATCTGGCTCTTCTCTTCCCTTCTCCGAGGCTTTGAGCGAAAAGACAGCTTTTCAAGATGAGCATCAATGGATCCCATCCCAGGATCAACACCTTGGGCAGGATGGTCCGAGCGGAGTCCGGTCCGGATATGCGCTACGACGTGAACTCCCATATGATGGTGGGAGGCGTCGGCGGCAGCAACCATTCTCATAAACAAATGTATTACGTCCAGAAAAGCTACGTGGGGGACTCGGAAGGATATACGTAAGTGCAAAACAATATCTGGCGTTTCTCCCTCTCCTGGTGCGTATTACCTATGCCTAGATTTTTCTTCTTCCTCTTTGCAAATAATGCCTAGATTTTTCTTCTTTCTCTTTGCAAATAATGCCTAGATTTTTCTTCTTTCTCTTTGCAAATAATGCCTAGATTTTTCTTCTTTCTCTTTGCAAATAAATAGACCAATGCTTAGATTTTTCTTCTTTCTCTTTGCAAATAAATAGACCAATGCTTAGATTTTTCTTCTTTCTCTTTGCAAATAATGCCTAGATTTTTCTTCCTTCTCTTTGCAAATAATGCCTAGATTTTTCTTCTTTCTCTTTGCAAATTAATAGACCTATGCCCAGATTTTTCTTCTTTCTCTTTGCAAATAAATAGAGTTGCCCCTGTTAAGGAGGAACGGACACCATGGGCAGCCCCGGTTGATTGCTGAAACCTGCAGTTGCTTCCTGGCGTATAAATTATACCGTGCTGATTAAGCTATGTATCTATGTGTGTAGAAAAAAAAAGTCTAGTTGCAATTCATTGTATCCTCTGTTTCCACACTCCTCCTCTTATGGAGAAGTTACTCTGCATTTGGACTTCAAGAGTATGGGGAAGATTATTTCCTATGGTACCTTAAAAAAAAAGGTTCAGGACAGAGTTCAGAGGTCTTCTGGTTGCAAGTTTTGATAATGTCATGGCTCTTGGCAGGCTGGAGTTTTGAGTTATGGT